ACATGAGTTAAATAGACGCGCACAGAATGCAGAAAACCTTGAATATAAAGCCGCGGTGATGTGGAGGAACATAGGGCAGCAACAGACGAGAGTGTGCAACCGCACACACAATTATTTGTAATACATGGGGACTAAAACACAGCACTACACTTTGCAGTCCAATTCAGAGTGCCGCCTGCCTCTTAGGAATAGTACGTTATTTTCAGCAATGATTAGCATAACAATGGCTTATTTTCTCGCTAAATCCGAGGACCAGCAATACTCCACGTTGCAATGCATAAACAAACGCAGTTATGGAGGCGATCTGAAGTTTTTTTGGGGGGGAAATTCACTGTCGAACAAACAGCTGAAGTTGAGTGAATGGCCTTCTGCAAACACACCAATCTTTACTTCGGTGCTAAAATAAAGTGGGAACTAGTTAACCTGGAACCCAGCAGCAATCTTGTTTTGCATCAAACAGAAGGAATATTGGTATTTTCGTATCCAGTAAAAAAATATATCTGTTTCGCTTTACGAGACACACNAAAAAAAGACGCTGCTGGCAAACATGTTGTATCTCAACCTTAAGTCTTGGTGGAAAAAAAATGAAACTTGCGGCCAGAAATACTTCGCGCGCGTATGTACGGGTGGGATCCTTTCCTCTGGAGTGCTCTGGGATAGATATATACAAACAACATACTTACCTTGCACTGCAGAATGCATTCTTTAATTGGAACAATTCCGTAAACTCTGTCATTTTGCAAATGTGCCATTTGCTGTCCAGAAACGTCTGCAATACGGTAATTGCGCTGAAACAGAAAACTTCACTCGGTCTTCATCGATCTCCCCTTTAACCCTCGTTCTCAGCGCCCGATCTCTGGTAACAATCCCCCACCTCACCCACAGGGGGCGACACTCTTCTGCTGAATTTAACACTTTGCCGAACTCCAATATTGCTTTCCCCCCGAGAGATCTTATATCCCTTAGATTTGCCACCTGTATTGTAATGTATCCACACGTTTCCCACTGCATAGCAGCTTTCTGGATGAAGTGGCATTTTAAATTCATTAATGAGTCTTATCTAAGATTGTTACAGAGTATAGACCGTTTTTGCCACATGCTTTAAAATAAACAGCATAATAGAATTCATACTTATATAGCGCTTTCCACGTCGGGAATAATTTTATTCATCATTTGACTTATTGGTACAACACAATATGTTTTTATTTTATTTTACTGTGTGAAATATATCACCTTAATTATTTGTATCCTCTTCGAGTCCACCAGATATCACTTATTCTAGTTTTTTCCTTACAAACTGCTTCCATATTAAACTGGCAACACTCTCCCCAGATAAAAATGACTGTTCACTTCATGGCTGTTTGTGTGAGGGAGATTGCTGAGCCCAAACTATCTGTATTTTTCACCTACAAATACACAAGCTTTATTCTTTGCAGTAAACACCTACAAATACAAAGGTCGGCAGATCTAAAATAATAGTTTTGTGAAGCTCTTTGGGATATGTTAACGGCATTACGAGAGGTTATATCAAATGGGATTTTTAAAAATATACTATAAATTACTAAAGAAACAAAACGCTCATTTGCAGCAGTAATTGACGCCAATCGGGTACTAATATGTCTGATTTATATGATGATAATAATAATAATAATCATTGCATTGGATATAGCGCCTTATCACGTCGTTGAAACGTCTCAAAGCGCTTCACAGAATATGATGCAAAGTGAACTGACTGCATATTTTGTTGGGCTAAATGTCTTGCATCCAGAATTCCCAAGGAGAACGAATCGCCTTCGCCACACCATCCTGGCAACGAGAAAAGAAAAGTACAAATTAATTTCCAAATTAATTTTTTTTAACTGTTTCTTGAAGAAGGCTCACAATTTCTGATTTTAAAAAAAATGCTGCCTTGGCAATAACGTGTAACTGTGGGACAGACGGTGCATGTGCAACGTTTATTGGGAGCACTATCTATCAGGACATTTCTTCTTAGATTCGTTTCCAGTCAGTGACAGCCTCCAATCGGAAATCATTGAAACGTGGGATATGCATTGGGAGAATGACGCCGATTTTACCGAATCATTCTCAATATTCGTTACGTTGCAGACTTACAATTCAAGGCTCATTTTATGAATTCTAACTTCATGATTCCTCGTTTTACGAAACATCTAAACGCAGAACATTACCACGCAAATTTTGAGAGCATCGGGAACGATTAAAGTCCTATGCAATTCCGAATGACTTGTTATATATTTTTTAAATAATCCTTAAAAATCAATAACATTTACAGAAAGCTTTTATTTTCCAATAATTGACTCGTTTTAGTATATTTGCTCTATGTGATCGCCAGGGATGGCGTAGTCTCTTAATTATCCGATAAACCTCTGTTAAATTGCGCCTCGCTGTTTATTACTGCAAATGAAAAGACATAACACTTGCATATCATTACATTGGACTCTTTAACCAGCAGTGTGTTCTTAATAAGTGCTACGGTTTTGCACCTGAATATATTTAGTTGTGGTTTTCAGTAAGCACGCTTCTACGAAAGCTGAAGAAGTTAAAACGTTCCCATAGTTAAGTAGTTTTGAAATAAGGTGGACTTGTTACAAAGTTAAATCATTTTGTATAATTATAAATTGTGCTTGTTAAATATCATGTCGATTTTCTTATTAGTACGGAACTGTGGTGCCACTAATAGCAAAGAGGGTGTTTGCATTGCAAAGTTTGGAAACAAAATGAACTGATTTGCAGAAAAACATATTTGGCAGCGGAATTCCAAATACTAGATCGTTTTGTGTGAACACCTGAATGATTGGGTGAGATTTGTTTTTCTCGTTTTTTTTATTTATCTGGTCACTTCCTCGAACCGCTTGGAAAAAAGGTTGAAGCTTTGACCTGTCCTGATCTCTTACATGTGTGTCACTACGGGAGAAACAAGCCAGGCACGTCCCGAAACCATAAACTGCAACTTCCAGGAGCACTGACAGTTTCTTTGTGACCTGTGGGACGACAAATATATTATTATTTCAACTGTGTTAAGGATGAGCAGATTAACGATTTGCCCCCCATGCAGACATAAGGCACGCAGATTGTGCATTCCTGATGGTATACCATCTTATCACTTTTTAATCGACCAAATCTGCCCTCAGAAGTGCATTCACTGAACACAAGGTCTATGCATTCCGAATATTTTGAAAGCTGGCTAAATGTTTGTAAATGTCAAAAGGTGTTCAGTAGGAAACATTTGATTACGACATACTGTATATATTATTTATAGCTGGTCAGTAATTGGAATCAATGGGTTAGTTATAAGCAGGGATGCGATGGGAATTGTCTTGTTTACACTAACCGAGTTCCTACTATAAAAGCTGTAGGTATTATGGGGGTCCAGGTGTTAAAATAGTTATCAGGAACACTGCGCTGATTTATAGACTACATCTTACACTTGATTTTCTGAAAATAGCTATGTTGCTTTATATACTGTAACCCTACTGAAGCAATGAGAAGATCGGGATTAATCTTCACATCCGATTATTTGAATAGACGTTTCTAAAAACCTACCCTAGTTGACATGTCTTGCATTAATTGCTTAATCTATTAAATAAAACATATGCAAGAATCAAGACTAATATATTTGCAGTATTTCACTGTTTCCAATATATATTTTCCCCTAAAAGCAAGAGGCCCATGCGAGTGAACGGAGATCAAGCAACTCTTTTTATAAAAAGGTGGCTGCAATGGGGGCATATTTTAATGGTGGTTTTTTTGGGGGGGTGGATGGGTGGGTGAATAAACCTATTTTTATCAAAATTGATGTAATGGCTGCTAATCTCCCTGTAAAGCAAGCTTTGTTGTGCAATGCGTTTGACTTGTACGGTTAGAATTGGTTTGCATTTTGGGCAAAATGGCATATGCATAGGTAAATATGATTTGCCCAAACCTCTGAATAATGTTTTTTTTACCTTTTTATAAAAAGAGTTGCTTGATCTCCGTTCACTCGCATGGGCCTCTTGCTTTTAGGGGAAAATATATATTGGTTGAATTTATAATATTTTCAAAACATATAAATCCAGGTGATCGCTTTAAGATATCGTAAGATTGGGTTTACGAAAGTAAAATAATTTTTTTTTGTGTAAACTTTTGTTGATAAAGATGCACTCAACAAGAACTGAAGCTACGATTCTATTTTTTTTCCTATTTAAAACAATGTTCGATTCCACTTATTATTATTATTCCGATCGAGTAGAGTGGAGGAAAAAAATAGAATGGAATATTCTACCGTCATTTAAGGGACTTGTGGGAACCTTGAGTAGAAATCATAGATTCGTGTACGTTTTGAATTTCTCTTTTGGAAAGGATTAGACTAGAGATAACATGTTTTACTTGTCGAAGAACTTTGGTCCAAAGTGTATTCCCACGATACTTTTTTTAAAAAAAAGATATTTAAATTCATCTAGCAAAAGGAAATGTTATTATCCGCATTTTTGAAATAAAATGATCACCTGAAACCGCCACTGGGATACTTTTTTTTTGTATTTAGGAGGCTGTCAAATGCACTTGCAAGTGTTCAGAGGAACATTTTGAAGGAGCTACGTGGACCAAGAAACGGGAGCGGGAAGCAGAAACAGGTCTACTTTTCAGCGCCGATAGATGATTTAAAATCCTGCGGGGGGTGGGGGTGGTGGGGGGGGGGGGGGGGTGGGGGGGGGGGAGATTACAGAGCGGGTGCAATTTATTTATTTTTTGGACCCAAAACTTCGCGAATCGGTTTGGGTTTCCGCGGATCCGATCCGATCTTAAATGCGTTTTGCTTCGGATCGGTCCGGAGTGAGTAAGTCGCTGAGTAGGTTTCAAAAAGGCGGAAAGTTTCTGAGCGGAATTAATAAGTTGTGCTGCGAGGCCACCGATGGGCTGAGGAGGCAGCCAATGAAACACTAATGAGGGCTCGGAGCGTGACCATCAAGATTGACGTGGAAAACGCGTAAAATTGATCTGGACAAACTGCAGCCTCTTGGATATACAAATTTACCCCTAATCGGATGAAGATCACCTTGTGCATTTGTGCAGCACATCTTAAATTGTTCCTCGAGCCTTCGGCAGGGTTGCGAAAGGAATTCTTCCGTGCAGCAGTCCTCTTCCTGCCTCTGCTTCCCGTCTCCCGAACTCTATTGCCGACACCACTGAAACTTTCAGCCATTGCAAAAGGGGGAAGATTGCCGAAACGTTCTCGCTTCGTTGGGCAATGGGTAAGCACTGACTCCTATTTACATGGTTCAGTGGCATGAGTTTGATAACAGAATAAAGAGTTGTTTTACACGCCTGCATAAACGTGAGGATCGGAGCTGGGAATGGTCGGCGACTCGCCCCTGACCAACGTACTCAAAAAGGGTATTTTTTTTTTCACGTCGAGAAAATCAGGACCTTTTTTTTTTGAATAGCGCTCTTTAAATCCGAGTTTTCGATTTGGGCGGTAAAATCTGATGCTTTTGAAACAAAAGCGTTGCGCTGAAGGTACATTTTAAATAAAATCACGTAAACCAAACTGTATGTTAAAGCGTATCTCATATCCGAGTCCGGAAAGTACATGCGGGGGGGGGGGGGTGGGGGGGGGGAGAGGCTGTAAATACAATCCCGTGTCCAGTAGCTGCACTCTGCGGCGTGTGAACACGAAATAGAAAATAGAAAGAAGAGGAGAGTGAATGCAATCCATACCGAGTTGTTACTAATGCAATCGCATTCTCCAAACATGCGTTGCTTCGCATTTTACGTTGACGCATGCATTTTTGTTGGAATCCTGTAGTTGTTTCCATGATCAAACTTTATAAAGTTGTGGGAAGTATGCTATTTTGACAGCTGTTTAATTTCTGTTTTTTGATATTTATTAATGGTTGACGTTTACATTGTCTCTCTCTTTCTCTCTCTCTTTCTCTCTCTCTCTCTCTCTCTCTGTCGATTTTTTTTTGTAGATCAGACTTATGGGGAGGTGAATCAGCTGGGAGGTGTATTCGTTAACGGGAGACCCCTTCCCAACGCCATTAGATTAAGAATAGTGGAACTAGCCCAGCTCGGGATCAGACCCTGCGATATCAGCCGACAGCTCCGAGTCTCTCACGGCTGCGTGAGCAAAATCTTGGCCCGTTACAACGAGACAGGCTCCATCTTACCTGGCGCGATTGGAGGCAGCAAGCCCAGAGTGACCACTCCGACGGTGGTGAAACACATCAGGGAGTACAAGAACGGTGACCCCGGGATCTTTGCGTGGGAGATTCGGGACAGGCTCTTGGGCGACGGAGTCTGCGACAAGTACAACGTGCCCTCCGTCAGCTCCATTAGCAGAATTTTGAGGAACAAGATCGGGAACGTGTGTCATCCAGGTCACTACGAGACCAGCAAGCATCACCCTCCCCAGTCAGCACTGCCTTACAACCCCATTTACCAGTACTCCTACCCCAACCACATGTCACCTACTGGGACTAAAATGGGCACTGCCGCGGGGGTGCCCATGACAGGACATGTTGGCATCCACAGAGCATGGCCGTCTGCTCACTCAGTCACCAATATCCTCGGACTCAGAAGTATTATTGAATCATCAGGTGAGTACCTTACCTTTTTCACCTCAGCCATAGCTCTGATATTCTCATATGAATGAATATAATGGGTAGGCATTGCAGTTATAAATTGGAGTTAAAGTGAAGCTGATGAGATTCTCCCGAGGTCACTGGTTACCTGGATATATTCCACTCCCCCTTAAAACTATAAATGCTTAAACTGGCAGATTCGGTGTTACTTGTGGCGCCGTTTTAACGATTCACTTTGCACTGCACTCTCCTGTTCTACAGTGTATGAATTGCAGGAGGTATTATGTATAAATTCTTATCAGAAAAAAAGTACGATAGAAACATTTCGAATACGAGAGCAACTAACTTCAGGTTTCATTTGATGAGAGTCCTTAATTGGCAGAAAACTGAGAAAAATCTGATATCATCACAGTGTAGTCAAAGTTGATCGAAATTACTTGCACTCTGGTAGAACATTGAAATCTAAGGGAGGTTCATTAGCTAAAAGCACAACCCACCCCCACGCCCCCCCCCCCTCCCCCCACGCCCCCCACACACGCTAATGCTTAATAAATCACCATCGCTCGCCCGGTCTTCTTCATGGGGAACATTGTCTTCATTGGCCTTCACTCAGAGAAGGATGAGAGTTAGCAAATGTTTACCTTCTCTTTCTTTGATACACAGGAAGCATCTTTACGGCCTAATCCCCACTCACCTGAATAGCCTTCACTGTAGTGTTGCTTATTGTCTATTGTCTCAATCATTTCCCTAAAACTTTTATAAACGTTGGTTGTGCTTATCTCGGATTGTGACCGTGAGGTGTTTGCACTGCAGCGATTACTCGCGGTATAGGAACAATTTAAAACTAAACTTGAAACTGATTTTTTTTTTAAAAAAGCAAAGTCACAGTAAACCATTTTCGTTCCACATGAATTACCTTCGAGAGCGGCAGACGATTAATTCAATAGGGCTGTCTGATCGGCAGTTTTCACATTCACTTAAATGATTTTTTAAAGGTCAGTGTTTTATTGATCTGCGATTGTTGTTGATTTTCTTTAACGGGAATACAAATGTTCCAGGGTGTGGAATTCACAGTAGCGAAGTAAGCAGAATATACTGAGCAGAACAGCACCACCAGAGGCCCGAAATTTCATCCAGTCCCAACCTGTGAGAGCATTTGGTTTAAAATTTAAGATCGCGCAGGAGTGGGGAATATTCTTAAATTTCGTGTTTATTCGGAAGTTGGTTCTATTTAAAGAACTGGGGGAAACTATCTTCCAAATGAAGGTTGAATCTATGAATTTTCAACTATGTTTACGTGTGTGTGTGTGTGTGCGTGTGTGTGTATGGGGGGGGGGGGGGGTCAAATTTCAAGACAACATGGTTTTATATGCTAGAATAGGTGAAATTGTGGGCCTCTTGGTTCCAATTGTTTTGTGAGTCCTATCTTTACAATTTTACTCCAGGTTAGTACATATTTGACGTCTTCACGTTTACTTGGGCTGTTGAGCGATGCCTCCTTTTTTTACGGTTCGTTGTGGTAGTTGCATCTGAAGACGAAAACAAGTGAAAATAATATTTCTGTACAATAATTTGAGAACTGACTAACGTATAAGTGACGCGTTGATTTTAAATGCGCTTATATTTTATGTAAAATATATAATGAATCATTTGAAAATAGATAAATGTAGAATGACAGTATCCTGAGATCAGGGATACGTATTTTGATGTACCTTTAGGGCGGCATATATATATATATATATATATAGTAGGGGGTGTATAATATATAATAGGGGATGCTAGTCAGCTTTTATGTTGTATGTTACTCATTTGCACATATTATTTTAAATAAATATTTAGCTTCTATTGGTGGAGCCGAGGCCTCACCTTACCCAACAAAAATGGAAGATTGGAATAACGTTAACAGGACAGGCTTTCCTTCAACTCAAAGTATCAATGGAACTGAGAAACAGGCCATCGATTCTGATCTGAAATATCCTCAGGTACTTGTATACGTATCTACTTTACGTGCACGATGTGATCTAAAGAATGATCTGCTCCTCTCTCTCTCTCTCTCTCTCTCTCTATATATATATATAAATGTGTCTATCGCTCTAACACGATCACATTGAAGTACAGCAAAGCTGGTATTGTTGTATTACAGGCTCCATCTGGACTGCCTGCTGTGAGTAGTTTTGTTCCTGCCTGCAGTGTTGGCCCCTATCCCTCATCGAACCAAGTGCCGAGCTATGGGGTGTACAGTGGCCCTGGAGCAGGGTATATGACCGGTCACCCCTGGCAGTCCCAGAGCAGCAATCTCTCCCACTCTGGGCCAGGAATCGCCATGCACGGCGGAGATATCCACGCGTCAATGCCCTTCAAACACCTCTCAGCTAGAGAAGGTAAATCACTTTTCTCGTTATTGGGACACGGTTCATTTCTGAAAATTAGGCGTCCGTGCAATCGAGATTCAAAGCTTTCATGAACTTTGCAATGAAACAAAAGTAGCTAATTGAAAAATGTCATTGCGTGATATACCTTAAAGATAAGTGTATAAAGTAAAGCAAAGATGTGATAGACCAATTGCTTAACGTAGCTTTGCATTGAAAGCTGTATGTGGTTTTATGTATCAAAATCAATGCAAATGTTTGCTGTGGTAAATGAAAATGATATGCAGTAATAACCCATTATGTAAAACCACACAAGTGATAGAAAATAAAGAATTTATAGACATTTACTGTCGAAATATTTAATCTCATGTAAAATATTTGTTAAAAGAAATTGTGCTCCTTTAAAGATTTCGATGGGCGTACTTTTAACTTACTTGTCAGTGGTCTATGTTTACAGATGAGCACATCGTGTATACATTATGCATTGGTTCTTCGCTTTCGTTTACTATTGATCTTGGAACACTTACAGTGGAAGGCAATTATTTTTTCCAAAAGCTGCTTTTGTTTCGTTTTAGGCATGCAACAATCTTTACATATGGTTCGCAGAAGCAGCCTATAGCAAGCGGTGTTACAGTGAGTTCATGTTGGATGATCACGTAGCGTATCAGCTACTAATGATAAGGTGTGCATTACTGATTAAAATACCTTTTGATGTCAGTTTGGGATCGTGGAGGAGATCAGCAAAACACTGTTTAACCCCAAAGAGCAATTTAGCCTTATTCCGATGACTATTGAGAAATTACAAAAAAAAAGGTAGAAAAGACAAACAAAAGTGACATCTTTAACTGGGATTTATAAATTGTATGAAGATTTTGCGATAATGTTTCGGTTATTTTAGATGGGCAGCAAAGTTTAAGATCAGACGGTGATTATAACCAATCGTTAAAAGCAACGAAATGGCAGCCTGAAACAATAAAAAGTAATGTATTGGAAAGGAATAGTTTAATTATAACATTTCATATACAACATTGTCTTACATTTTCCGGCGTTAATAAAACTCGGAGGTTAGTTGTTTGGCAAAGGAGCGACTAATTGTTCCGGTTGTACACAGCTATACACAAAGCGATTCTAAACTAGACTAATAAAATCTGCAACATTTCGAATTAAGCCATTTACAGTGAAGAGGAGCAGGATGTGAGTGGCTACACTGTTATTGTACAAATCATTACATTAATCAACAATATAAAAACCTGTTCAAAATGACCATTCACTTGATTTAATGTTGCCTCCTTTGCTAATCCATCCTCTCAACCAAAATCAACATCGTATAGAAATCTAACATTTCTAAAGCAATCCAAACTACCACCCAAAACAGTATTTTTGTTGTTGTTTTGATGTTTTATTGTGTATGGATTTTAACCTAGAATTGTCTCTGGATCTGACAACTGGAATTTTGTTTCCACTTTTATATTTGCAATGAAGTAGTGAAAAGTAGTGAAGCAGTATAAACGTGGAGGTTAAAGAAGGCACTTATTTCACTGACTGTGTGATAACATCGAACCCAAAAAGGCCATTTCAAGGCGTTTTACGCTTCATTTGAGACTCGCCAGAGTCTGTTATCCCCCCCCCTCCCCTTATGTCTAAATAAAACCGAAATTATAGGAAACTACACTTTTGCCAAGGTGAATGGAGTTTTTCTGTTTCATCGATAATCTTACCGCCAGATAATTATCTCTCCTCAGCAAAATAAAAGGTAAACCCAGTCCCAGAGATTAGTCGTGTATATATCCACACACTTCAAAAAGTTTGATTAAAGTTTGCAAAATGCATAAATTTGTTTGATGATTTAATGTTGTAAACAAATCGGAAAGAGACCTGGTAGATTTAGAAGTAGTGAGAGGACTGGATAGGTATAGATCACCTCCCCCCACCCCCACCCCATCGAATTACTTTCATGGAGAATCCACGATTTAAATGTATTTCTGCTAATTAAAAGCATATTCTGTTCCCATCCGCGTTTATAACAATACGGTGTTGGATTTTGTGTATAGAACATATTAAGACGATAACAGAATTCTGATTTGTTTATAAAAGTATAAATACGAAACCCAACTAACCCAGGAGCAATCTAAAAACTCAGGACTCCAGTTAGTATTAATCTCTGAAGCCGATTTGGTATTGCATTTGGTGTCCAGCCGAATTGTGGAAAATAGTTAAATTCAATCTTAAATTGGAAGCAGGGTTTTCCAAATTTCTTAAACAGACTTGGTCTCCAAATTAAGACTGGATTGAATAATTTCTACAATTCTGGCCTGCACTAAATTTCCAGAAAACACGATAATACGGGTTTATAGAATACTAAGTAGAATTTGCAGCTCTGAAACAGTTTAAACATTTCCTTTTCGCAAATGCGAGTCAAAATCTGAACTGCAAACATGAGGTCCCAGTGTTAAAGGACATTGACAAGTCTCTTGGCTGTCACTGGTGTAAAACTAACTTCAAATCCTCGCCGGATTTACTCTGCAGTGACTAATGGAGGTAGGGAGAACATTACGATCTGAAATTATTTTACACACGAATCAGGGCATACAAGCTGTAAATCACACCAAGGAATGCAGTTTATCTTTAATCCGCCAATCGTAGCGCCAAAGTTTATTCAACACTGTTGTTTTGCAAGGTTTTGAGTAGCTCTGCTTCATGCAGTGTTGCGGGATTCAATCTGGAATTCCCAGGTTTATTGCCCGTTCAAAATCCCGGACAGGCTGCATACTTATTAGGTGGAAATGGAGATTTTGTTAAGATCTAAAGCAGACGAAGGAGAGACATTTGAACCTTTGTGGATTGTGAATATGGTACGCGGATGGGAAGAGACTGACTGATCAACCTGTCCATTTGCCAGGCGACTTTTACCTTAGACATGATTTTTTTCAACACTTGGTGTTATTCCTGTACAAGAAACATTTTTTTAAAGCAAATTCTGCAATCACCAAGCGTTTATGAACGAGGAAGTGTTCAGACTGTGTATTTGGCGTCAGCATGCGCCTGTGTGTGTGTGTGTGTGTGGGGGGGGGAGGAATTCCCAACAGGGTTCAATGACCATACATTCAATAGATCTCTTAAAAGCAAATATTGCGTTTTCACGTTTCTATAGAAAGCAGATGCATTGGAAAAGGTAATTCTAAGCAATGTTATAATAAAGGTTAGAAATTAAACACAGCCAATTGGAAAGGCTTCCTCATCGTGCCGCCTGTTTTAATGATCATTAAAATTATTATTATTATTATTATTATTATTATTATTATTATTATTATTATCAGCCTGTGACAATGCAACGATTTCAGACCCTACGTGAACTTGGCTCAGGTAACTCCTGAGTAATTTATTTGGCGATATTAATATTCAAACCATGTGATTAACTTGCTGTTTAAGCAGTTGGTAAACACATTTTAAAACCGGGATCGCCTCCAACTTGTGATTAAAGATTCGCCAGTGTTTCCCAGAGACAGGTCTCACACACCAGCCCTGATTCCCACTGTTCAGCCCCCAAAACGATCAACATATGTTTTGTGTGTGCAAACCCGACTGATCTGATTAGGACTGGACTTTCTATTCAAGGAATTAATTTATTCGTAAATCAGAAAACTGTACCAATGATTCGCATCTATTCAGAAAAAAAATTCCGCCGTAAATTTTCGGACTGTTAGCTTTATATTTTTTTTAAAAAAAGGTATTCTTTCTCGACCGCGTACACCACGGAAAAGTGTCGCGGAAACCTATACAAATAAGCGAGACACAAGAACACAGGGCGGAGATCAAACGATGCAACTTTTAGATAGATTTTGGATCATTGGAATATTTTCCGCAATTAAATCCTAACAACAGATTTGCAGTCAAGTCTACGTAGAATTTTTTATTTTGCTTTTTTTTGCTTACCCGAGCTCGGTTTGAGGGCATTTTTTCTCTCTCTGGCTTGATTTCAATCCGCGCAGAACACTTCATTTAAAAAAAATCATTGCAAAAAAAAAAGGTATACTGTTGAATCCATTGTAAAAAAGGCATACCGTTTAATCCATTATAAAAAAAGGTACACTGTTTAATCCATTATAAAAAGGCATATTGTAATCCATTGTAAAAACAAATCCAGTTTAATCCATTGTTAAAGTGTATACTGTTTAATGTTTTTATAAAAATAAGTATCCTGTTTGATTCAATGTTTAACGTGAACAACCGACAATAATATTTCGATGGGTTTCAACAGATCTGCAATCTGAAAACATATTTTTCTGAAATATCCAATATTTAACAGGAGCAAATATTTAATGAGAATTTAGGACACCTAAACTCAAATTTCTCGTGTTTGGAAATGATACGAATATAACATTGTAACGCGTGTACAGTGCACTTCAACGCAATTGCTGTTGTATCTCATCTGGTCTTGTGCTCATCAGCACACGGTAAATTCAAATCACGCTATCTGTCCGAGTACACAAGTAGGAAAATATATTTTTTAGAATCTACATATTAATCTCAAAGTTTTTTTTTTGTTTTCCATTTCAGTGGTGGACAGAAAACCGGTGAGCTCCGCAAACAAGCCACCTGAAGCCCATAGCAATGTCCATGAACTCGCAATTGCAGCTTCCTCCACGTAAGAGCTACCAACAACAGGACACTGGTACCAACCCGGACTGCTTCCTAAACATAAGGTCTTATGGAATTTTACACCCAAGTGCAAGGTCTATTTCCAAGAACTAAAAACCGTAGGCTTGATAAAGTATTATTCAATTTGCAGCGGAAACAAAAAACCTGCACAGACTTACTTGTGTGTCGGAAAAGCTACTGCAACATAAATGCGGTAAAGTGAATGTAAACTGCGCTCTTGTGGGGAGAAATGTGTACACGCTATCCTATCCCAAAGCGCATACTGCTTCTTCATTTCAGCAATGGTGTTGGTGGCGGGAAGGTACATTATTCTTCATTGTTTGCTTGTATTTGTAAAATGTCGGAAACGAATTCATATTTGTATGTAGCTAATGGGAATATAAGCCATACTATAATCAAAGGAATTTAGTGATCCTGCTCGTTAATGCAGAATTCGCCCCTTTCCTCATTACTTTGCGAGTAACGAGAGCTTTGTCAGGTATGTAATTTGTACATAGCTTCAAGAACCCAGACACAATTGCCTGTTGGCTCACACACAAAAAAACCCAGATGTGAACAAATCGTGAACATTTTGATGTATATCCGAGACTGTAAATGTAAAATATTTTACCCTAGCGGTCTATTTTATATTTTTATATTTTGAATTTAAAAATATGCATTTATGCTGAAATAAAACTGCAGACTGAGAACACGTCCCGTGACGTGGCTTCCCTGTTGTCCAGCAAACTGTTTCAATGCCCCTGGTGTGCTGATATTTAATGAACATTGTATGATATAGCTGTGTTCATTGTATTGCAAAGATAGTACAAATCTTGAAAAGATCTACATTCTAGATTTCTTTTGTTCTTGCACCTAAATCCCTATTTTTTTTTCTCTACACGTCCTTTTAAAGATTTGGTGCAATTAAAAATCTATTTCTGAAAGAATCTGCCACGCAAAACACGGGAAGTATACATTTAGCGATAAAGAATAACGTGAGGTTCAATGTGCATTAGGTAAAATAAATTCATGTAAGTTCCGTATAAACGTTTCCAGAGTGTATCTTTGGGTTCTGATGATGATTTAGTTATTTCTGTATTGATGCGATTTCGGCTGGGGAGATATATATGTTGGGCAACAATTTATTTATTTTACATTGCTTAAAGCGCTGCAAACAAATGATGTGTGCAATGGTATCTTTGCCATTGCTAGAGTCTAGCAAAGGAATATCGCTAATGTGACAGAATTGTCGATCCGTGGTAGAACACACTTGTAAGCACTTTATTAAAATTATAAGGTACCTTACCCATGGTTTCAGATTCGACCCGAGCTTTAAAACCCGAGGCCCCTGTTTGAATGAACCCCCTGATATAGCCTTTTTCATATTGCTGTCTTCACCTGATAATAATTGTACTATCAGATTGGTAAGGCATGGAAATATCCATTCTTCAGCAGAAAATAAACATAATGGTTTTCAAAGAGCAGATCTAATTCATTAGACATCGCAGTGCTTTCATTTTATGCTGTTTACTGATTGTCTTTCACGCATGATTTTTTTTATTGCAAAGAATAGAGTACACTAGTGTTAGAGGTTTAACCAGTGTTGTTTTTGTATAAAATGCTGTTCGATTTCGGTGTGAACGCAGGACTGAGGATGTACAACCGTGTCCTTCTTAAATGCTTTGAACATACCAGTAACAGGCAGATCAAATGAAGCATAAATCCTGAAATCAGTAGGGGTTAACATACGATCAGCACCTCACACCGCTGTAAATGAACATCGATTAACTATTTGAAATACTGTATTAGCAATATTGTCAATGTCCACAAATTTCCCCCAACAGCTTTCTGCATTGATTTCCCACGCAACAATTCCTAAAAAAAACCTCTCGAATGGGATTTTAGCAACTCATTTAATATAAAGCATATTTCATTCATGCATTTTAAGCCAGTTGCAGCTATCTAATCAGAATAGATTTACAGGCACTATTCGATATTTTATTTGAAACTGCTAACTGATGCAACTGATATAAATGTACATCATCCTGAAGAATAATTTTTAATAATAATAATCCTTGCATTTGATACAGCACTTTTCAAGTCATCTAGACATCTCAAAGCACTGTAAAGTGAATTGATTGTATATTTGTGGGTGAAATAGTTTATATCAATAATTGGCTCATGTACTGAACACAGTTCTGAATGTGATTTCAATATTCGCTGAGGCCAAACTTAAGGTGCTGAACAGTAGCTTCTAAGAGTTAAAAATTGCAGCCCTAAAGAAGATCAATCTTCAGAACAAATTTTGCACATAAGTACAAGTAAACTTTCTGCACATATTAGTTTGCAGGGTGTGTATGTTTTGGAGGTAGTTGGCTTGTCTCCTTTATACCTCTTATATCACCTGTGATTCGGCCAAACAGACTCACTACGCCTCACCAATGAATTCAAACTATTCAGTTAGAATATACAGTGAACTATAGAATCTCTTTTAGGTAAATGTTGGATGAAATGAAGATGGATTTAATACACCAAGAGCTGGTACAGAATGTATGTTAGTCCTATCTATTTTCAACCCAATAGCATATTTTCTAAAGACTAGGGATGTGTCCCCTTAAGATTCTTATGACTCTGCAACTTAGCAAATGAGCATCTTAAGAAGGATATGAGATGAATAATATATCATTTATGTGCTCTTCAGTTCTCCCATTACCAAACTATTTTCTGGATAAGTTTCAGTCTGGCTCAATTTGTAGCAGTCTGACTTCTGAGTTGAAAGATTGTGATTTCTAAGCCCCACTCCAGGACAATTAACTCACAGTCTAGGCTGCTACTCAAATGTAGTGCTGGGGTGTGCTGCACTGTTTTTGGTGCTGTACTCTCGAGAATGTCCTGCTTGCCTGTGCAGATGAGCATTAAAAATCCTATAGCAGTATTTGAAAAGAAGAGGGAGTTGCTCCTAGTGTAATGGCTAACAACCCCCACTAGATAAAATTGGTCAATCACTTCATAGGCGTTTGCGGGACATTGCTGTGCGCAAGTTGGCTGCAGTGCTCGCCTACAAATACACAGTCACTACACTTCACAGAAAAATCCTGTGATGTGAGTTGAGACATCTTGATAACGTGATAAAGTGCTATAAAAAATGACAGTTTTTTAAAATCTTATTATGACTTGATTACAATTCAGATCAATCCCCACAGCTCAGGTTTGATGGCAACTGGTGTGACATAGATACTAGATCATCATGCCTTCTTGTCCTGTGAACAAAGAGAAAATAGAAATCACTGATCATGAGCTGACTGAATGCCCACAAAGATCACCCAAAATGCCACACCATAGCTTCCTGAATCACTATACTAAGCCCCTGTCAAAGATTGAGTACCTCTGGTTTATCTCTATTGTTGGTGTTATATTAGGGTAAATCATTGTACCAGTGTGGGTTGATAGACTGTGGAGTGCAGGAGTTTTCTGTATGCATGTAAAGGTGGGTTATTGTTTATTCAACGCCTTAGTTCAGGTATAGCATGGCCAGATGCAGCATGAGGCACACAGAATATAATAAAACTTATAATAATAATCCTTGCATTGATATAGTGCTTCATCACATCTTTGAGATGTCTCAATGCACTTCACAGAATATACTGTAAAGTGAATTGACTGTATATTTTGTGGGCGAAATGTGGTGGCCAATGGATTCAAGTGACCAATTTCTCCGTAACAGACAAAGGGTAATTTCCATGCATTTGTGGAACTTTTAATAATAACAATAATCCTTGCATTTGATACAGCACTTTTCATGTCTTCTAGATGTCTCAAAGCGCTTCACAGAATAAACTATAAAGTGAATTGACTGTGTATTTGTGGGCGAAACGCGGCAGCCAATTTCACACAGCAGTGTCCCACAAACAGTCATGGATTGAAATGACCAAGTTATTATTGTTTTTTTTTGAGGAATTATTAGACGGATTTGGATGCTCTTAAGCATAGTAATGGGGTTCCATTACTCAGCTAGCAAAATCAGGAAAATAAGAATCACTCGAGCAGAGAGCTCAGCAGAGTGAGCCCAGAACAGAGTGAGAAGAAATTGGGTGAGAGTGGGAATTCCTTGTTTACTAACCGAAATTTAAAATTTTAACTTAATTTAACAGTAACAAGTGGCAGTTGGCAGTTAACTGGTATTAGTTGCTAGCTGACCAGTTGGAACTGGTTCTGTCTGAGGTGTATATAAAAGGCGAGAATTGCAAGAATCAAGTAGGGAGCCCAATAGAGTGAGCTGGGACCGGAGGGAAAAGGAATTGGGTGAGAGTGGAATTTAGGTGCAGAGGGGGAAGGAGGTGCTAAGTGAACTACATAAATAACTAATAAAATAAGTAGAAATGACAGCACAGCAGTGTGTCAGAATGCAGTATGTAGGAGTTTGTGGACTATGAGACTGTCCTGGAGTGTCACTTCTGCAGGAAATTTCTCTGGCTTGACACACTCCGGCTCAGATTCATTGATATGGAGTGCGAATTAAACACACTTTGACAAACAAGGAAGGGGGAGGAATTTCTGGATAATTGTATCCAGAACTCAGTCACACCCCAGGTACAGGAAAGGAAGGGTGTGATTGTCAGTGAGCAGGGTAGCGGGAACCTAGGAGAGGTAGAGAAGGAGGTCCCACAGACATTGGTCCTGTCCAGAAGGTACAATGTACTTGATACCTGTGAGCACGAGGAGAAAGACTGTGGGGAGGACGGCCACAATGCAGACCACAGCACCGTGGAGCAGAAGGCTGTCCGAAGGTGGGAGCCGCAGAATAGAAATGTAGCATTGATAGGGGATTCAATAGTTAGGTGCATAGTTATCATCTTCTGTAGCCATGAACGAGAGTCCCAAAGTGTGTGTTGCCTACCTGGTGCCAGGGTAAGGGATATCTTGACGTGGCTGGAGAGGAATTTGGAAAGGGAGGGGGGCAGATCTAGATGTCATGGTCCATGTTGGGACAACTGACATAGTTAAGAACATGGAGGAGGTCCTGCAGAGAGAGTTTCAGGAGTTAGGAGCTGACGTAAAAGACAGGACCTCGAGGATAATAATCTCTAGATTATTACCTGAGCCACGTGCAAATTGGAGTAGGGAGAAACAGATTAGGAACGTTAACACGTGGCGAAAGGATTGGTGTGGGAAATAAGGATTCCATTTCATGGTACACTGGCACTGGCACCAATACTGGGACAGGAGGGAGCTGTACCAATGGCACGGGCTCCACCTGAACCGGAAAGGGTAAATAGGGCTGCGGCAAAGGCTTTAAACTAGTAAAATGAGGGGGGGGGATCAGAAGGAAATTACATAAGACCAAATATAAAGGAAACAGGAAATGAGAGTATAGGTCAAATAAAACTAAGGAATAAGGAGAACATAAAAGGTCAGGGAATCAATACAATTATAGAACAGAGGTGTGTAAAGACTGTCAAAAATAAAGTGAGAGAAACAGCTAATAAAAATGAATTAAACTGTCTGTACATCAATGTACATAGCATCCGACATAAAACAGAAAAACTGGAGGCAATAATTCGTAGTGAGGAACCAAATATAGGAGTGATATAGTAGGGATTACTGAAACAGAAAGAACAGAACTGGCAATTAAACATTGTAGGGTATAACATATTTAAAAAGGATAGAGACGGGGAAAACGACAGTGGGTACGTATCAGGGATAACATTCTGGCAGTAGAAAAAGGGACATCAATAAGATAGAAACAGAATTTGTGTGGATAGAGATAAAGGATAAGAAGGGATCAATCATACAAATAAGGGTACACTACAGAACATGTAATAGTGGAAGGAAGGTAGAGGAAGAAATATTCAACCAAATTAGGAATATGAGTAAAAGACATAGAGTAATAATCATGGGGGATTTCAACTACCCCCAAATAAATTGGCTACAAGAGGTGGGTAAAGGGGATAAGGGAATGGAGTTCCTTCAATGTGTACAGGACTCCTTTCCTACCCAGTATGTTAGAGGCCCAACAAGGAAGGAATTACTGCTGGATCTAGGGAATATCTAGGCAACAGTGATCATAACTTGATAAAGTTTAAGATAAAGATTGCGAAGGACATGAGTATGACAAAGACCAGGGTAATAGATTGGAAAAAAGCTGATTTTGAGAATGGAACTTGGGAAAATAAACTGGAAAACAATATTGGCAAACAAAGAGATAGAGCAGCAGTGGGAAACATTTAAAAACAGTGATCAATGGAGTCCAGGAGAAATATATTCTGCTGAAAAACAAGATAAAGCTAAACAATAATGAGACACTGTGGATGATTAAAGACATAAGGGCAAAGTTGAGGCTGAGGAAAGAAGCGTTCACTAAGTACATGAACAACAAGGGAGAGCATGACAAAAAAAATACAAATTGATTAGGAAAGAAGTAAAAAAAATTAGGAAGGCAAAGAGGAACTACAAAATCAAATTATCAAGGAATATAAAAAGAAATAATAAAATAATTTACAGATATATAAATAACAAAAGAAAAATCAACATAGAAATAGGACCACTAAGGGATGAACAAG